TCGAACCCTTTACTGTTAACAGATAAGAATTGCCACATTCCTGTTCCGAACCCCACAAGTTCTGTTGCTTCCGTCCCCCATAAGCACAGGACTGTCTGTTGGRTCCTCTTTAAAGGGATCATAAATGACTTTAACCAGACTGTTCGGCATGACTGAGAACAAAGGACCTARATTCTTCATTAAATGTGAAAAAAGGAGAAAAGATAAAGGAATCTGTGTATCTAATGTTTTCTGTCTTATTGCAAAGAATGTCATCTAATCCATTTTTCTTACAGAAAAGAACTAAAAAGACCATAAAGGATCTAAGTTTTGCTTAGTTAACTATTCAATAGCTGTGTGTATTGTGGTGTTAATTGTTTTGATGAAATGTTTTCCTGAAGAAGATGTTTTATTCCATGATTTAATCCTTAGAAACTTTAGGGCTTGAATCTTTAATAATTAAATGTGACTCTTATTTTACTGAAGCAAGCAGATGTCGCTCCCTTTAATTAGATGCAAGATAATTAAACTAAAACACTCCCTTTTTCTTTGTCCTGAAGTAAAGTCTCCAAAACAGATTTGATTTGTTAAACTTTTCCTGTATAAGGTGTAACATTTTTATTGACCAAAAAAAATCTTGACTCCGCCCATAACAGAGGTTTTAAAAAGCTTAGCGCACTCCCAATCTCTTAGAAGACAAAGAAGGAAGAAGACAGAGAAAAAGAGTTTTTCAACATCAGAAGCCAGAAACAGTTTTCCAGAAGCTCAGCAGAGACCCTGCCTGCCGGCCCCTCCCCATGGGCTGGGCAGGATGGTGGTCCTTCTGCATCACCCGCTGGTTGAACGAACAGCCAACGTTTAAAATCGACTCAACATCTGAGTTTGATTTTATAGAAGTTAAATAAGCTAATTGTAATTCATGCGTCGTTTTTAGTTCATTTTCTCTACAAAGTTGAAATCAAATTAAGAAGTCTTGCAGCCGCCTGGGGAGGACCGGACCATGTTGTCACCAGGGAGTGACCCCCTTCTCTGACCACGGGACCAGTCGAGTTTTACAGGCAGACCACCTGACATCCAGCTTGCATGGAGAGCCCACCTGGGAGACGACCCCAGAGATGACCTTCAATCGCTGACTTCCCTCCTGGTACCCACACGGTGGAACAAAAGGGTAAAAGTGAACATTTGTTCTGGTGACAAACAGGTGCTCAGACGTTATTTGATTCTTATCTTTGTATGAGATTTGGTAAACTAAATAATTTTTCTCCCTAATTTAACTAGGACCCCCTTAGTTAAATCCTCAGCTAAAAGCAAAACTCACCTCACCTCACTCCAAGCCTCAAACTCACCTCTCAGTGTTTATTTTATTTGTTGGTTTGTTTGTTTGTTCACTTGTGATTGCAAACTCTGCCAGTTTTACCTGGTTCAACATGTCATCACTCCATCACCATAGTTGTAAATACATTTAATCTGTAAATAAATGGCCCGTGGAGAACGTGCCAACATAAGTTAATGTCACTTTTGTGTCTTGATAAAGTATTAGTGGTTCTGATAAGGACAAGGACTCATCAAATCATTTTGGGTACATTTATTGTGAGACTGATTACAATAAAGTTACAGGTTTTCGTCTCTTTCCTGGGTTTTTGATCAAATTAAGAGCGTGGTGCCTCGAGGTCAGATAATTTGCGTATTTAAATAATTCACAAATTATCCATTTTAGAATATACCCCAAACCCCTACATAAATTAAAAAGGAAATGTCACCTCGTTGGTAATTTGTGTTTCTCAGCTGACAGTTAATGGTGATTGAGTTGCACCATGTTGCTGACATCAGCAGTTTATTTATTCCTCCAGACGACCGTGAAGTGACTTTCCTGATTTCGGTTTCTGTCTCTCTCCTCGAACAACTCTCAGTTCTGTTATTGCAATCCCCCCTGGAAGTGTAAAGGCAACTCAATCCCAGGAAAGAAGTTATATATTTAATACAGACTCCGTGCGGAGAAGATGGTATTAGCAGGATAACAAAGCAAGAAGGAAGGTGATAATGAGAACTGGGACAAAAATGGCAGAAACCGAGAAAAGGTTCATACATTTTAATTTTTTTAACATGGGTTTGCTGCTGACTTTTGGAATAGAAAAGCAATGCTGAAGGATGTTAAAGGAACGCTGGGAAACAAAATATTTTTAGCTCATTGATGGTATGGCTGTTTAACCACAAAATGAATAAAAAAAAAAACTGCCATTCCTTGCAGAAATGCATATCACCCGCTGCCTCATGCCATAGATTAAAGCTAAAATCTGAAGCTGAGAAGTGGGAAAGTTGTAGCTATTTTGCTTAACAAATGAAAATAATGTTATGAGCAATCTTAAATAATTTAATGTGCTTAAATTGTATCGAATGACTGCACAATATTCTTTAAATTGTTGATTATCTGTCACTAAACTGAACTGACCTCCAAACCAAAGGTTTATTTTCTAGAAGTTTCTTTAAACTTCCTCATTAAATATGTTGTTGTCACAGTGTCGACAGGGCCGGCCCTAGCCAGTTTGGCACACTAGATAGGATTTCAGGCGGTGCCCCTTGTGCAATTTCCTAAATCTCACTGCCAATTTCCATACATTCATATATATTCATTCATATATATTTAGAAACAATGTTGCATAATTAAAATATTTAACAATATAGTTAATTTGAAACAAAATACCAGAAATCTACATACCTGCAGGTGTTTGCTGACAGTAAAGAGGAACACCTGTTCATGTTAACGAGCAGCTGTGGAGTGAAACAGCTCTAGGAGGGTTCGGGGTTAATACTCCCCTGGGAAATAATGAATAAATAAATGTGAGCCATCATATCGAAACGAGGATTAAGTCAAATTTGGTCAAAATGACCAAATTACATTTTCAGATTCTTGTCTTTAAAAGCTACATTTTCATACCTGGATCATTCTGATATCATAATTAAATCCATATATATGACTTAATTTGTCTTGTTGGTTACAATAATACATAAATATTTGGTCTGAATCCTAATTTTATGTCATTTTAATGATGGATTTTTGATGTCATTATGAAGAGGAAACTTCAAATTATATTTGAATATTGAGATTTCCCAGCTGAAAAGAAATAAAACTTTGCTAACTCACAGGGAAAATCTTAAAAATTTAAGGTGTGTTTGCTCAAAATCAGTTTTTTTGTTGCTACTGCTCAAAAAAAGTGCTTCAAAATTTTGTTTTATGATTATATTTCAGGAGTTCATTCAAATGATACATTAATAAGGTTTTTATTCATTACATTTTGACAAAATGCAAGTTTTGTTAACATTTTCGTCAAAACACTATATTTGCCTATTTCTCAATGTACCACATTTAGACTTAATCCTTGTTTCGATGTGATGGGTCACAAATAAAAATCAACCCCCACTTGTGGTGCCCCCTAGATAGATGGCACGATTAGCATTTGCCTATGCTGCCTATGCCTGCCCTGCTGTAGGACCAAACCGGTTACATTTATCATGTTTTATCTCAGTCTTTGAAAATCATTTGACAGTTTAAATCTTGCAGTGTGAACCAAGCATTACCTCACCAAATTTTAGGTCAATATTTGTAAAATTGACGGTGTTGTAGACACATTAAAAACAACAACAACAACAATAAACACCATTGTCCTGATGCATCTCAGTAATCCAGGTAAAAAATCAAAAAGAAAAAAATAGTATAGGTCTTCTGGACGGGTTCTTCTCTAATGAAACGTTTCGTCTCTCCTCCAAGAGACTTCTTCAGTCTGAGAGTTTCAGGCAAAATTCAGGCTTTTAAGCCCTGCCTCCATGTGACTGATACTCACATCACATGGCTATCGTTGACACCTAATTAATACCTATTGTTAACAGGGGGTGGAGTGATACTGGCAATAGTTGCGCTGTAGGAGGGGGACAACTGAAAATGGAGGCCTCCACCTCTGTTTAATGATGGACGGTCTTTCTTCACAAAAATGGCTTCTTTTACTCCTCTCTCAAACCAACGTTCCTCTCTATCAAGAATGAGAACATCCTCATCTCTGAAAGAGTGACCGCTGGCCTGTAAATGAGTGAAAACTGCAGAGTTCTGGCCATTAGATGTAGCTCGTCTGTGTTGGGACATTCTTTTGAACAGGTGACCTTCAGGTGAAACCTTCAGGTGAAAATGAAGACCCCAAACCAGTGGTTATTCCGTATGTTGTGGGTGTTTCAGAGAAACTGAGACGTTTATTTTCTAAACATGATGTCCCAGTGGCTTTCAAACCCCAAAACACATTATGGCAAAGGCTGGTTCACCCCAAAGATCCGGTGCCCCGGCACAAACAGAGCAACGTTGTATATGCTGTTAAGTGCCAGGAGGACTGCGACCAGTTATACATCGGGGAAACAAAGCAGCCACTGTTCAAAAGAATGTCCCAACACAGACGAGCTACGTCTAATGGCCAGAACTCTGCAGTTTTCACTCATTTACAGGCCAGCGGTCACTCTTTCAGAGATGAGGATGTTCTCATTCTTGATAGAGAGGAACGTTGGTTTGAGAGAGGAGTAAAAGAAGCCATTTTTGTGAAGAAGGACCGTCCATCATTAAACAGAGGTGGAGGCCTCCGTTTTCAGTTGTCCCCCTCCTACAGCGCGGCTATTGCCAGTATCACTCCACCCCCTGTTAACAATAGGTGTTAATTAGGTGTCAACGATAGCCATGTGATGTGAGTATCAGTCACATGGAGGCAGGGCTTAAAAGCCTGAATTTAGCCTGAAACTTTCAGACTGAAGAAGTCTCTTGGAGGAGAGACGAAACGTTTCATTAGAGAAGAACCCGTCCAGAGGACCTATACAATTTTTTTTCCTTTTGAATAAACACCATTGTTTGCGTTTTGGCATCAGGTGATAAATGTGGAGAAAAAAAACATCATATATACTTTTTTATATTTTTATTAAAACATTGTCCTCCAACATGTAAAGAATGTACATACTGTAATGATAATAATAATAATAATAATAATAATAATAATAATAATAATAATAATAAACTGAGAAACATTATTTTTGTTCTATACTTTTTTTAAATTATTTGCCAATTTTCCTTTGAGCTCTGCACCTCAAGGCTTGAAACACTTTAGGTGGAATGTACAGTACAGACAACAAAAACTCCTCTTTAAACAATGGTTTTGTCTCGTTTATGACGTCCACATTTAGTTTTATTCATTTGAAGATTAGAACACCAATCAAGCGCTCGCTTGTGTTCCAAAACCGCTGTAAATAACAGAAACCCCCCCGGTGCATTTGAGCAGACATCCTCAGCAGATTCACATCCCTGCACAGACACACACACCATGAAACCCTTGCTGGGATAATTGCTGTGGATGGTATAGTTGTGCACCGCTGCGTTCACAGGGGGCTGAGATTGTAAAGCTTCACACTGACCACAGCAGCAGCTTTTCACGCAGCTCCCCTCTCAGCAGAACGGATCATAAAAGCCACCAAGCTCGCTCCGGACAACGCAGCGCGAGCATCAGGACTGACTTTTTGTTGCCCTCTGCTCCTCCTCCTCCATCACCGCTCCACGCTGAGTGGTATGTCCTTTTGCTGCTGGGATTCAAAAGAAAATGCCACAGTTGCACTGTAAAAATGTGACATTTAAGAAAGGAAGAAAAAATAAAAGAAATAAACAGGAGCGGCTCACTGAGGGGGAACCAGCTGTCCAACCTCACAACAAAATGCCACGGGGCTGCACAGCTTGGAGATGGTTTCTTAATAAAGTTTGAACTTTTGAAAACATGTGAAACAATTAAAAACACAACAGCACATTTAAAAAAAAAACACGGTTCACACGCTGCGCTTAGAGTCACTGAGTTTTCTGAAAGGCAGCTGATGCTAAAAATCTCTTTTTGTGGTTTCACAGCAGTTTGTCTGAGCGTGACATCCTGTCGCGCAGCCGATGTCTTTATTTCCCGACCTCTCGGCCCGTCTCCAGCGCTGGCAGTCATGTGTCGATGACGTCCTGAGCTGGTGAAGGTTCGTGTGGCAAACTGGTGGCGTTGGGCAGCGCCTGCGTGTGGCTCACCGAGTTCTGCTGCAGCTCCAGCGCCATGGCGTTCTGCGGGTGAGGGAACTCCTTCACCTGCTTGCGGTACTCCAGGAAGGTGGACGCCTTGGTGGCGATGGCCACCACGTTCTTGCCCACGAAGATGGTGGAGACGCGGCTGTCCTGGAACAGCACCATGTTCACGCCACGGATGAGGATGGTGACCACGTTGATGGTGACCAGGCTCAGGACCGGGTACAGCATCATCTTCTGGGGGGACATGTGCTCGCCCTGCATGCTGATTTCACTGAGCGACACGCAGGGCAGGATGAGCAGCAGGATGTAGCAGTAGAAGAACATCAGGCCTTCGGCCCAGATGGGCAGGCCTGTCCGCTGCGGCTCCCATAGATTGGCTTGGATGTCCAGCAGGTCCAGCAGGTCCAGCGCCACCCAGAACAGACGGCTCCTCATGTCCTCCTTCTTCCGGAAAGTTCTAACGTATTCCATGCTATCCAGAGCCACGAGGATCAAATACAAACCCGGCACGCACACCGACAACAGTAACGTCAAAGCTTTCCGCGCCACCGTCTCCAGACTCTTCCTGTCGGCCTTGCAGTTCTGGAAGACGAAGTAGAGTTTGATCTCCAGGACGAAGATGTACAGGAACCACAGGATCATGGCGTAGCCTCGCCGAGCGGTGCGCACCTCGGCGCCGACCCACACCGCCACGTACCGCAGGACGATTAAGAAGCAGACGTCCCCCACCAGCACTATGATGCACACGCCGATCTTCCTGGGACCCTGGTTCTGCTCCACCAGGTAGGCGTCCATGAAGGCCATGCTGGTCATGATGACGATGGTGGTCAGGCACACGTGGCGTTTGTCTGGGGGCGGCAACACCATGGTGAGGGCACCCTCGGGGGGTGGGGGGTTTAAATCTTTCAAAGTTAGACGGGGATTTAAAGTGCCGTGACGGATTTCATGTGCAACGTTCCAACCGAAGCGGGTCTCAAATTAAACGTGCGCCCTCGGTTTCGTCTCGGTAAATCCCACGGAGGGCGGCGTGCTGCTGGTTTCTCTCAGGCTGCGCGAAAACTCGAGCGTCATCTCGTCGCTCAGCGCACTTCCATCGATCCGGCCCCGCCTCTTCGCAGCCGCTACGTTAGGGGGCGGAGCTCTGCACCCAACACACCATGATTGTAACACACACACGGCTCTAACTGATGGGTGGTGGGATGGTGGGACAGAGTGGGGAATGTGAGGGGGGCTTTATTTTGGGAAAGAAGCGGAGCGACACGTTTAGAAGGAACCCCTCTCCAGATCCTCCTGCGGCGCGTGTGTCTCCGTCCAGACCTGCGGTGTGTGCGCAGGGAAACGGAGAAGAGAAGGGGGAGGAGTCTGCAGTGGCCAGAGCCCCCCAGCCGCCATAAATCAAGGAGACAGCAGGTCAGCGGCCCGCGAGGCCTCGCGTCTGACGCCGGCTTCCCCGGGGGGAGGCTCTAGCTCCGGGCCGACGATCCATCCTTCCCCCTCTCCCGCTCGCCACGTGTCTCTTCTCCACAGCCTGGAGGAGGGAGAAATAAACAGGGAAAGGAGGAGGGGTGGGGGGAAGAAAGAGGAGGGAGGGTTGGAGGAGGCAGAGGAGGAGAAAGAAACCTGTCAGCACTACTGGGCCATATAACAGTCTCATTGCCAACGGCCCATATATGAGGAGCAAAGTAATGTGTCAGCTCGGCTCTGAACCGGGCCTGTTTCACTATTAATGGGACAGAACAGATTGCAGACATGACACTGGTGTCATGTGACATCTGGATCCTCCCCGCCTGAGTTAATATATTCAGGGTAATGCACTGCAGTTTAATTTTGGCTCTTAAACGAATAGAGGACTTATTACAAAAATCTGTAGGAACCAATTTTGAACTCTCATACAACTACTCCGCCCCTGTATTACTTGGCAGTAAAATGAGATAAACGACAGCCAAGTGTTCATTTCCTGCACATGTTTTTAGTTGGTCTTGGGCCGTTTCCAGACTGAATATAAAAATCCATGATTGCAGTACGTATGAAATAGATTTCATACGGAAGGATTACAAGGCGTTGTTATGAGGGCTGGTTTTTACGACGCACCGGCTGCAGGAAACTCATTTCCTTGTTTAAATTCTTCAAAATGAATACGGTGAAAGACGGTTTCAGCTTTTGTGAAAGTTAGACTTTTCTTTTTACGTTTCAAGGTGTTTCTCTTTTGACCTCTTTAGTCCTGCAGCTGATGTGCTTCTTGAAGCGCGTGGATCTGAAGAGGCTAGCGGACGCTTCTACAAACAAAAAGTGGACAGATGACAAGCGCTTTACTGCCCAGCAGGAGTCCACCTCTTGGGTGTTGCTCTCATCCATGAATAACAGCAGCGTGGGTAAGAATTACCAACTAAAAAAAGGGGTTAAAAATGAAATGTTAACTGAACAGAAACGTCTCCTCATGTTGGAGTTTTAGCAGGAACCAGAACCTTTCTGCTCTGTGTTCTGTCTGCTCCCACTGTCACCGAACCCTTCAGGCTGAACAGTTACAAATCACATTAGTGTTTCTGTCAGTTCGCCTTCAAATCAAGATATGACTGCAGCTCACAGAAAAGCTCTGGCAGTGGTCCTATAGTCTGGCTGAGGCAAGTTACTTGGAGAAGTTCAGCGAGAGGCGCAGCTAAATATTCTCCCACTCTACGAGAAGAAGAGCAATTAGGATCATTTAGTTAATGCACTGGCCTAGATAGACTGATTTTAAATGTAATATTCAAACCAATTCATTTCTCGCACTCTTTAGAGTTTCCTGCTGTAACCCAGATAAATGGAGTTCTAAGTTAATGAGTGTCTGCATCCATGAAAATGTTATTTAAAGAAAGTTGAGTCGGTCCTCTGAGTTCTTCTTTGTGGAAAAATGTTTCGTCTCTTCTCCAAAAGACTTCTTCAGTCTAAGGCAGGGCTGCCCAAACATTTTCCCCGAGGGGGCCAAAATGAAAATCTATCCAGAGCTGTGGGCCAAATGCAGTAATATAATACATGAAATACAAATACTTTTGTAAGTAAACTCCTTTATTTTTAATGATTATGCTATGCAATGGCCCTCTTTATTTTTAGTCTGTGCACTTGGAGAAAGTCTGCAATACACTCAAATAGCAAAGGCTCATGGGACATTTCATAAATTGATAACATATGAGTTTTTGTGGCCTTATAAAGTGTGCAAATCTACATGTGGGGTTAAATCTGATCTAAATATTTCTTGTCATTCCATGTGTCATGTTTAATCCTATTAAATCAAAGATAAAGTCAGCACCATGAAGGAAAACTACCTTCACTACAGCCCTTTTATATAATCATTTGACCAATGGAAATACTGTGTTTCTACATAGGATAACAGGTTACAACCTTGTAACTTTGGCAACTGTTGGTGGGCCAAATCAAATGGCTTGGCAGGCCAAATTTGGCCCACGGGCCCCACTTTGGGCTCCTCTGGTCTAAGGTGTTACAGGACTGCTTTAAGGCTGAGTTTACCTGTAACTTCTCTGACTTATAAGTCTCTTGAGGAAGAGACAAAACATTTTAAAAAAGAACCCATCCAGAGGTTCAACTCAACTTTTATTTTAACATAAGCTGCGTTTCCATTGTAAATGTGAGCAAAACTTTGTCGATATTCTGTTAATGTCGAAAAATACAGTTTGGCAACTGGGGTGTTTCCATTAAGTAAGAAATGCTATTAAAGTCACGTGGATACGTTTGTTCTCATGATAAGTCATTACAAACATGGCAGCGATGGATGTAAACACATAGCATGTTGCTACCACGACACTAGCGCTTATCATCAGAGGAGACGTCGGCGTCTTTTATCGAGGCTTTCCAGAGACAAGTCCCTACTTGGGAGCGGCTACGTATGCTGTGTTTTTGGGAAATTGTAGTCGGTGAGTTTACTATTTTATACTACTTCTGTGATATTACTACTACTTCTACTTCCTGTTATCTTCTTTGTCATCTTTTTTTGCCAGTAGAAACAGCTGGTTGTTGATCATGTGACTCCCGTGATGCAAAAAAAGTGTTTCCATTGCAGTTTTGCAAAAAACACCAATTTCGATACAACCGAAAAACCACCTCATCCTAGAGCAAAAACGTTGTCGAAAAACGTAATTTTTTTCTAAATTAACGGTTTCCATTTACTGAAACTGTCTGCTGAGCTTCAACATTAGTTCTTACTTAGTGAAGCTCTTTTCAGATTCAAAATACCTTTGAGGAAATGTATTTTCAGATGCCAAGTAAACTGTATCATAGCGCACGCGCAAACCCTGAAGCACTGAAAGGGACGTGTCAGAAGCAGAAGGAGGTTCTTAAAGAGACAGAGGCCAATTTCAAGGCGTTTAGAAGAGGAAGTGATGAGAAGATAAGTTTATTTTCTATTTAAACATAAAAACAGCATTTTAATAACAACTAAAGGTGACATAGATACTTTATTATGGTATAGTATTTAAATATATGCCTGAAAAACACATAATACAGGCCCTTTGAAGGCCATCTCAACAGAAACACAGTATGCCACGAAATTCGAGATCCAATATTTTTGTTCCTAAACGGTCTAAGCAGGCCCTTTAGCTTTTCTCTATAGAAGCTGAGATCGGCTGCGACTGCGGTAAATAAAATCTTGACAAACTCCCACTTCTCTGCTTCAGCCACAGCTGCACAAACACAACCTAAAGGCAGATCTAACGTCTAAAGACCTCGGGCTATTACTGTTTGCATTTTGACGTTTTTCAGCCTGAAATGGTTCCTAAAGTTGTCAAAATGTACCGTACCATCTCTGCATCAGACCAGGCTGAATATGTTGAATCTACTTTGACTCAAACCACAAAAGGTTTCTCTCAGTGGAAATGTAGATGTCTGCCCCACTGAACTTAATCTCTTTAAGCCCTAAAATGTTTAAATTTATTGAAATTCATCATTTTTTGCTTATTTTATTTTATTTTTTTGCTCTACAGGCACGCAGCCAATAATATGTTACTCCACGCGAACCTTTGAGAAACTCTGTTTCACCTCCCGTCCCTGAAAACGTAGCTCCTCACCACAAGCCCACAAGATTGGATTGATTTCTCAGGTTTGCACAAACCCCTGACAACTTGAGTCTGTAATTTAGAGAGTGTCACTGATGGACCGCAGGTCTCAGGTGGAATTGCTCAACGTTTCACATACTTGTTAGAAAGATTAAGAACTGCAACTTACCAAAGACGATCTTTAAATTGACTCGACGTTAAGTTTGTCTGATGAAAAGCATGGGAGCGCTGCAGCCGCTGATGTTTACTGTCGCTCCCTGTGGCCGCTGATCGAACCGGGGAGTCAGTAAGGACCTGGAGTACAGCAGAACAAACAGAAAACTGCTTTTTAAAAAGAAAAATAGTTTTATTATGTGAATGTGAAGTGGGAGAGCTCCGAATTCTAAGACTTACTGTAGCTAAACAGTGAGTAAAACTCTTATTTTTACTTTTAGTAGTATTTCTGTCACATTCAGTCAGTAGTACATGTAGTACTTTTCCGTGTTTATCAGAAGACGTGTTAAAACACTGTTTCTATGCATGAAATACCAGGTAGAGCTTAGGCATTATTTGTCAGCAGTGCTCAGCCGTAGCAACGGGACGAGGAACTTGACCTTTTCTGTTTAGTCAAAGTTAAACACGAAACATAAAAATTGGCCCTGCGATAAAGCCTCATAACAAATTTGTCCTGTGTCTTTCTGCACAGCTTTAAAGGGATCCATGATTAGTTGTAACATTAGACTTTATTTGATAAACATCTATTTTAACTGTAAAATAAAGACTGTAAAAATACTGTAGAATGTTCAGTTTTTAGTATTTCACGGACGGAGCCATTTTATTTCCACACAAAGCATTCTGGGTAAACGATGACGTGGATAGGTCCTCGGTGTGAGGCTGCTAGCGAGCTATATCCACCCTGAAGGTTAATCTTGGACAATATCTGATGATCGACTCTTTTAAATGAAACCAGAGAGCGTTGACAGAGAGGAGAAGGTAGAAATGACTCAGTCTGGAACTGAAGATATAATTACTCAAGTAAGATACCCAAAAATTCTACTTGAGTACAGTAACAAAGTATTTCTACTTAGTTACTGTACAACTCTGCCCTGTGTATTTCAATGGGCAGTCATCATCAGAACAGACGCTTCACTAAAAACTAACAGGCAGATAAACAAAACTAATGGGCCTCCTGTAAGAACATGTTCGTATTCTTCTCCTAAATTTCTCTTACTTTTGTTCGTACAAAGGGTTCGTACGAACA